TGTTTAAGCACTAAACAGACTGCTTCCTTCTATAGGATGTTCTAGAGGCGGATAGGCCTGAGCAAGGATTCTATATCCGATCTGGAATTACTGTTATCCTGGAGAAGGCAACAATAGAGGATGGCACTATTATATAAACCAATCTCCAAATATCACCACAGGTATCGAAATGGAGATCTCCGAGGTTAGTAAAGCAGTAACTAGCCACTCGAGAATCCACGCTAAGATACAGCTTAATTACGCAGCATTTTGTGCCAGAGAAACAAGCTGCACTACCATCCCTCCATGTAAATTAGAAGTTTCTTCTGTTTTGCACTTGTAGAGTAGGAACCCAGCATCAGTAGAAGCTAGAAGTTTCCAAATAAAACTGAGAGCTTATGTATTTGCTGCTCCATATTAAAAGAATAGGCTGCTAATGCTTGGATATGAAATTTTAAGTCCATGTATAATATAATAGAAAATTGAAGTGCAATCCATCGTATGATGACTTCACTTTTTGTAATCATCAATACCTAGGGCCCTATCACTCTATCAGGTAGTGCAGCCTGTGCATGACAGGCTGCACCACGGCACTCATGATTAAAATAGAAAGTTTCGTTGTGACGTATGTTCCATTGCAAAACCCTGACTTGCAAGTCTCTCTTCCTTTCTTTTTTCTTAATTTCACTATTCAAATTTAAAATGTTTAACATGAAAAATCAAACTAATAATTAGGGAGACGTCTGTAAAGGACTCCTTGGGGACTTCCGTGGTCACTTCTACTTGTTGGTTCAATTCCAGCTAAAAAGAAGCGATTCTTGTTATGTTACACGTGGTAGGATCATGGGCGATCCTCCATTTCAACACGTGTTTCAAGGGTAGGGGTATACTCACATTGAGACACAATCATTCAGTTTACTCCACCATGCATGGACTCGAATGTTCGTGGAGTTTGTATCTTTGAATCTGCTCTTGAGCAGGTAGGGTGAGTAAAAAATGGGACCATAGTTTGTGATCATTAGTCTGCAGTTTTCTGCCTGATTCACGAGGATCAAGCAAGTATACTGTTGTTGCATGTAAAAAATTAGTAGAGAAGGAAAACACGCGTGACCTGTGTGCAAATCAAAATCCTTGAAACAAGAGGTATAAGCAGAACCATGATGTTCACATCACATTCCATTGGATGATCCACCTTGCCAAGAGCAACGTGTAATATCAACAATAATGCATCAAACTCTAACCAAAATTAAATAAGGAAGATCAAAGTTTGAAGGTAAAATTGGCACCCAGAGGGATGCCAGATAAAACATGATGCTTCCCTGTAAAAATGAGAGGAATGTTAGAAAGAGAAAATGCAGTGTCAATTTAATGAGACAAAGTAAATGCAGGTAATATGCATACCTAAGCAACATTCAGAATCCAATAAAAACTCTGCAGGTGTGATGCTGATGCATGGACAGAGAAATGGCATCACACCTTTCAAGCAGTGCTGCCTACTGAGAGAACTGGCATCACTTCCCTTTTTTTTTTATTAGTACATCACTTACTATATATTGGTTTAACATATTGCTTGAAATTCTCCAGCTAGATTTTCCTCATGGATTCTTACGTGTTCCAAACAATCAAAGACCCTCTACGTTTAAATTCACATGGATGAAAACCACTCATGGTCTTACCCATCAAAGCCATAGCTGCAATGCTTGGAAATTGCTTCTTCTGATATTCATCCAGAGCTTCTTTTGAACTCTTTGGTTCACATAATGCCATGGTCTTGGGTTTCCTTTTTGGAGATGCAGCTCCATTTTTAGCCCACCTCTGAATCCAAGAATGTGAAAGAGTAATGTCATGACTTTTTCTCACCAAGTCAGTCGAAGAGGAGGAGTCACCATTCTTTAGCAACATAACAGTTTGATCTAACGCTCTGCATGGTTTAACTTGACATCTGCCTTCACTGGGTCCTGAACTGGTCATGCTGCATTTCAAGCTCTTGCTGAAGATCTCTTTAACTTTTTCTTGGGATGAAGATTCTCCAGTTTTGGATCTCTTAGTAGCATGATCCAACGAATCTGAACTGCCCACCCTGAGACGTTTAATCCATCTACTTCTTAGCTCTGTTCCCAGATGAGCATCTGGACAAGCAGTGGATTTAGAATCTGTAGGCTGCTCAGCATGTGAAAGCAGATGCTCAGCATCCAAACTCAAAGTTCTAGATGGACTAGTCTCTCTCTCATCCACTAAGCTTGCCGCCACTGGAACAGTGAATGGCTCCTGATTTATGTCAGGTAAATCAGTGTTTGTGTTTGCTATTCTCTCTACAGTTTCTTCCCTTGCAGAAGCAATTGGTGTTTGAGATGTTGATGAATTTTGTGGCTCCTCGATTTTCTGAAAATTTATCAAGTAACCACCACTAATGAGTCCACTGGCTTAATTAGATAAAAAGAAGTTGACTCACTCGTTAGAGCGCCACATGGACTCTTCAGATGAAGCCGCTTACAAAAGCATGCAAAACAAGTAAATTAATGATGCCCACTCAAAAAGGTTTAATCATGCTTAAGGTAACATGTCACTCAAAGAGAATCTAGAAAATATATAAAACCAAGAGCATGTTATCAATCTTTTAGTTGTTTAACCAAGCATTTTCTTTTGCACACATACTTTGAAGACAAATTACCTGATTTGGTGGAGACACGGGGATACCTGCAACAAATTGAAAAAAAACAACTTACTAAATGTTAAAAAATGAATGTACTAAAGACCTCATAAAAAACCTGCTTCAGGCAGTAGATATTCTCTACCATAAGTTAACTTCCTCAGTATGAAGTGAGATAGCCATTTACATTATCATCATATAAAGATTCATTAGTCATGACTACAAGAGGTAGCAGGAATGTGTACCTGAAAGTTGTCGCTTCTGGAAAAAATCTAATTCCATAGCATCAGTCTCTGTTGATGATTCATTCTGTAAACAAACAGCAGAAGTTTTAACATTGCCAGCATTTTCTCCTCCTTCACTATCTGTGGAACTCCTCCATAGTGGTTGCAGATTCACATCATGCTGACCTTGGAAACTGAAACTTGGAGATAGAGTTAGAAAGTCACCAGACATTTTCCCCTTTAACCGGGAAGAGTCTTTGGAGTCTCTTAAAACCTGACCTAAGGATGACAAGTTAACATCATTCTTCTTTGTAATAAAAAATTCACGTGTTGTCTGAGAAAACTTGGGTGGACTACTGGGTAAGTCTTCCATTGAATCTATTGAGGTGAGAATTCTCATAGTCTCAACATCAAGAACAGAAAAGGGAATTCTTGGCACTGAGGAGCATTCGTGATATCCCTTCACCGATTTCATCACCTCTGGATGACTAACTCTGCTCTGAAGCAATCTAATACCACAGTCATCTTCTCCCTTCTGACACTGTTTGTTAAGAAAAGTTGGCAGTTGGTTATGGCTGGTTGAGGTCTCACGAAGGATTGATTGGTCAATTTCTTCTTGGTGACACATGAAGGATTGAATTTCAGCCCCTTCACTGTTAAATCCATGTGGCTCAATGTTAGAAGTTGACCTCACATCAGGCTGAAAAGAGGTTGAAGCAGCTAAACTGTTCTTTTCAAGAAAACCATGTGATCTAACCAGCTGCTCATGATCCCATAAGATGCCTTTAGGCTGAAGGTGATTACATTCAGTTTCAGGATGAACCCATTTACTTCTCCCTAGAGTAAGAGTCTCATTGCCACTTCTGGGATAAAGTTGACATTTCACCTCGTTAGGATATGATTTACCCCAGTTATTGTTTATCGCCACATCACTCTCCTGATTCTGAGAAACATTAAATACCAGAGAGGGCTGACCATCTAAGCTTTCTTTCCCCAGCTTGATAGCACTCATTTTCAAACTCTTGTCCATGATGTCAACCTTTCCAACTTCAGATAATTCCCTTAATCCTTGGGTTGCCTTTTCAGTCCCACAATGGGATACATGCTGCTTAAGATCAGAACCATCATTGTCAAGCCCATTACTAAGTGGTAAATCATTATGTTTCTTGATAGATGGCTTAAAACTAGTGTGCTTCCAGTGGCTAATCCAAGAAGCTTTGTAATTATACACGGATTGGCCACCCGTTCCATCAGTACCATGATCTGAATCCGCAGCCTGATCAGACATGGTATGATTGAATTATGCTTCAGTCTAAATAATCCCCTTCCAGAATCCTCAAAAAAACTCAACCTGAAAATGCATATTGACAAACACAATCAAAGTCTATGCTTCAGAAAACCATATCTATTTGGTATGGATTAGCTCAAGAATCCTCTAATTCAAATGAAACAAAAATCTCTGTTAACCTCACCTCAATTCTCAAACATAATCAACCATTTTTCAACAATAAAAAAGCAGAATTCGGAATTCAGATCAAACAAGCTGTTGAAAATGAAGCAACAGTATACCAAAATGGAATCAAACAAACATAAATACAGATTAAGCTTAGTAAATGAAAAAAAAAAAAAAAAACCAAAAAATTGGAATTAAAATGGAGTTTGGACTATACTCAATTACTCACCCCCTATGAGAGTCTGAGAATCGGAGCCGAGAAAAGAAGGGAGGAGAACGGAGATCGCTGCTTTGCAAGCAAGAAGGAGCAAAGGTGGTAGCATGGAGCTCAGATCGTAACAGATGTTGAGATGACAGGAGACAGTGGGGGTGGGAATTTTGTGCGTTATGGCAGTGTAAGAAGAAGGACGAGAAGGTAATTTGCATTTGAAAGAATGAAGTGGTGGTGGTGGCATAGCCATAGGCATCTGAGGAAGCCTACCCACAATTATTCGAGCAGAAAAACTGTTTTACTATTTAAATTATACTTTTCATTAATATCTATCTTTAGCGTAATAAATATAATTTTTTTATAATTAATATATAAAAAAATAATAATTAATTTTTATTTTAAAAT